AATTACATGTGATTTGAATGAATTGTCACAATATTTTTTTTAAAAAAATTACTCACATTCAAAGCAGCTTCAGCTTCTTCTAATGCTGGTCTAGCTGCCTCAAGCTTTTCCTCTGCTATCACTTTTTCTGAATCAATTTCATCTACAATCTTTTGTGCTTTGTCTTTGACACCTTGAACTTCATTTTTCACTTTAGCTGATGCCTCAGCACTTACTGTCACTTCTGCCAGCACCTATTATAAAATAATAAAAATATGTAGGGTCATATTGTTTTTAATGTAGAATCTAAAAGTTTAAATAGAAAGGGGGAGAACTAAAACACAAATGGAGCTTGAGCCCAATTCATAATAATCAACCAACTCTCCCTGCATAATTAACATCCTGTTGGAAACTATATTGTAAAATTAGAAGTGTAAAAATGGCAGAACATATGAATTCCAATCATATTAGCCTAGAAGCCTGAATCAGATCAGTTTATTTTAAATTTAGACCAAACAACATCTTAATGCAGTTGGTACTCACTTTGTCTGCTTTTACAGAAGCCAAAGCCAGTTCCTTCTCTTTCACTGCCAATTCCTGAGAGAGTTTAGCAACAGATTCACTAGCCTCCATCAGTTTAGAAAGACCTATAATAGTGGTTAAAAATAAAAGAAATTGATTTTTCTATTTTGCTATTTCATAGGAGAAGAATATATTGATTTAATATGAACTAATATATTTTAGTGAATATAATTGCTGTTGTTGTGTGCCTTTAAGTTGTTTCCATCTCATGGTGACCTTAAGGCCACACTGTCATGGGATTTTCTTGGCAAGATTTGTTCAGATGGTGTTTGCCTTTGCCTTCTTCTGAGACTCAGAGTATGTGACTTGCCCAAGATCACCCGGTAGGTTTACATGGCTGAGCAGGGATTTGAACACTGGCCTCCAGAGTCCCAGTCCAACACTTAAACCATTACACCACACTGGATCTCAATGAATGACAGTTCATCGCACTGTCAAAAAAATCAAGTAGGAATGTGTACAAAATCATAACATCATTACAATAGATTGGTGAACTGGCCAAATCTACCTTACTTGATCAAGCAAGCAGGTTCTAAATGACAGATTGGACTTACTGTGAGGATTCATTCAGGGATGGCCAGAGGATTAATCCACTATGATTGGGTTTATCTTGACATGCCAACTGGTTGTGCAGGAGCTGAGCGTTCTTTTTCACTTGTTGCCATTTAGCTCCATCCCTCTGTTGTCAGTTTTGTTATATAGCCTGATGTTCTGTGCATGGTTGTTTTTTGGTTTTGTTTTGTTGATTTGTTAGTTTTGTTTGAGGTGGGTGTGGATTGATCCTCCAGTCATCCCTGAATTGATCTTCATGGTAAGCACAATATGTCATTCAAGTGATGGCACGGAGGATAAATCCACTATGACTGGGATATATCCAAGCCCTTTGCATCTTTAGGTTGGATTTTATGTATGTACGACAGCCTGCAGCACAGTTCTTCCTAATGCTGCTTGTGCTGAACAAAATTTGTCTTACCTATAGTGCCTAGTAAAAGTGGAAGATTCTTTCCAACCTGCTGCCTCACAAATATTTTGTATTGAAGTAGAAACTGAAAATGTTGCCATAGATCATGTTGAATGAGACCATATCAGCTTCAGTCTTGGTGTTTTCTCTCATTCATAGCATATATTAATGCAAGTGTGGAGCCACCTGCCAATTACAGTTTTTGTAGCTCTGTTACTTAATGTCTGTGGATTGTATGACACAAGCAATGCTCCAGTTCATCTAATATCTTTTGTTCTTTCCAAATACATTTTAACTGCTCTTCTCACATCCAAAGTATGCCATCTGCATTTTTCTGGATACATTCGTTTTGGGCAGAAATGTGGTAGATATATCACTTCTGGCATCATTTTCCATGGGCGTTTCGGCAAAAAAGTTGGGTCCATAAATAAAACTATTCTGTCCAGCTCTATTTTACACAAGTTTGCATTCATCAATAATGCTGATAATTGTGATGGCCAGCCAAGAACAGGTCTCGGAGGAGGATGAGGAGGATGGAGCTCCTCCAGAGCAAGAGGTAATGGAGGCTACACCAGAGGCTATTTCTGTTCCAGTGCAGGAGGTAATTGAGGCTACACCAGGTGTTAATCCTGGTCAGTCAGAGCCCAGCCCTGATCTCCCAGCTCCAACGAGGAGGCTCAGCCAGGACCTAGTACTGATGGGATTCCTCTGGTGGTACAGCAGCCTAGTGTTGACTCTGGGGAGGAATCAGGCTTGAAGGTTCCCTCCTTCAGGCAGCGCAGGGCTGAAAGTGCTGGCAGACACAAATCCCAAAGAATTGCTGTGAGGCAATTAGCTAACCAGCCTCATCTGGTACAGGGGAGGGCATCCCCTATTTAGGAAGCAGAGAGATGCCAACTCAATGCCAGAGTTTATTGCATGATCCTTTGGTGTGATTGCTGCCTGCACTGGCTCCCTACATCTCGACTTCTTGTTGCCTTGACTCTTGACTTCGGGACGGACTGGACTATTGCTACCCACTGGCTGACCTGGCCCTGGACTGGACTGATAATCGTGACTCCAGTATTCCTGATTTCAGCTTTGACTTTCGGTTTGCTCTTTCTCTCACTCCCTGCAAGGTTTGTGGACTCTTTCCAGCTGCATAGCTAATTACCTTGTTGAGCCATCCTTATCGGTGTAGGTTTGTGTGTGCTGGCCGCAATCCAGGACAATAATTCTGCTATACATCTAGCTGACATAATGGCAATTAAGAATGCTACTTTACACATCAACACCCTCAATTGTTACCTCTTGCATTGGTTTGAAGGGTGCTTTCATCAGCCTGTTTAGTACCAAGTTTAGGTCCCATTTTGGAAACCTTTGACCTGTGGGATATGATTTTATAATTACTCCTCTTAGGAATCATTTTATGTGTGGGAGACCTGATAGAGGTTTCCCTTCCATTTCTATTGCTACTGACAATGTAAAATTTTTGTCCCTTCAGTATATTTGGCCTAAATCCTTTCTTTAAGCCATCTTGCAAGAACTGTAATATGTGTGTCACTTTTATGTCATTTATATTTAAGTTTTTATCCATACATCATTTTTCAAATGTTTTCCATGTTCTTGAATATATGGCTTTTGTTGATTCTCTCCAGGATACCAATATCATATCCACTATCTCTACTGAGTAACCCACTAACAGTAACCTTGACCTTTCAATCTTCATGCTGTCAAACTGAGCCAGCTTGGATTTGGATGTTGTATTGGGCCCTGACTCAGAAGGTTGGGTCATTGTGGTACTCTTATTGGATGGCCCACTGCTATGTTCATCGGCAGTGGAAACCATGGCCTGCGAGGCCAACAGGGTGCAATCAAAACTACTGTTGCTTTTTCCTTTTGTATTTTCTTCATTATTTGTATAATGCCAACTCTCCTGCCACTGAGTTGTTAAAGCATTGTGTGCGATTGCATTTCTGCTTCCATCTATTGAAATAAACCTGGGTAACTTTGTATTCTTTGCTGTTGCAAAATGGTCTATCTGAAGTGGACCCCATGTCTGCTGTATTTATTGAAAAACAGTATTGTTCAATCTCCATTCTCCTGGGTACATCCTGTGTCTGCTCAGGTACTCTGCTTTGGTATTCCATATGCCCTTAATGTATGTAGATGTTATTGACTGCAAGTGTTTCTCTGCCCAGTTAAATAATTTGTTCGATTCTTTCATTAAAAATGCTTAATGCAGTCCTCCCTGCCTAGTTATGTATGTTTTGACTGTTATGTTGTCTATCCATATTTGAACATGTCTTTTCACTTGTTTCATAAAAGCCATCAGAGCTAGTCTCACTGCCTTTAATTCTAAGTAATTTATATTGTGTTTCTTGTCCATTCGTGACCATATTCCTTGTTTGATGTAAGTCTGACAGTGAGCTCCCCATCCTAAAAGACTGGCATCTATTGTGATTTGCACATAATCTGGAGTTGTTATTTTGATTCCTTTTGTCAGGTTGTTGTCATTTAGCCACCATTTCAACTGAGTTTTTAATTGATTTGATATGTATCACATAATGTCTCTTCTTCCCTATCTCCTGCTGATGTGGCATCAGTAGTCTTTGTAGACCTTGACAATGATACCTTCCCCATTGTACTACGTGGATGGACAATATTAGTCTCATTATTTTTGCAAATGCCATTATGTCCAAACTCTCCATTTTGATTAAATGAGATATCACATCCTTTATTTTTTCTATCCTTTCTTATGACTGGATGGTATGTTCTGAGGGACTTTGGTACTGTGAAGAATACAGAGTAAACTCCTGAGTAATGTTCAGTTTGTGAAACCCTCTATTGCTCCAATGTTTAGTAGATGTAATATTTCTTGCCATACTATTTTTTGTTTCTGTATTTGATTTGATACTGGTGGGGGAATGTATCTGCTTTCCAGTGGGCTAGTAAACATTATTTTGTATCCATATGTCAATAGATCCAGGACCCACTGATCTGTCATTATTTCTGGCCATAACCCCCCAAAAAGCAGAAGTCTTCCCCCTACCTTTACTTTTGGATTGTCAGGATTGATTTCTACTCCATTTTGGAGATGGTCTGGATCCTCTATTTTGATACTGTTTTGTAAAATATCCTTGATTTGTTCCATTGAGATATTTGACATCTGTAGTTTGAATTTCTATATAGCCCTCTTCTTCTGTGAAAGGAAGAGGTTCCTCCTGAAAAGGATTTTTCAGTGTTGTTTTCTTTTGAAGTGTTGGCATAGCCTGTTTTTTTTTTATTAGAGTCCTCCACTAACACTGTTTCTAGCACTTGTTGTCCAAATAAAAGTTCTCCTTGGAATGGGACATAAGCTAAATTATTACAGGATTTTTGATCAGCCTGCCAGTCATGAAAGCATAAAGATCTTCTGGTTATTGTTGTAGTATTTATACCTCTTGCAATGGATGATATTGCATCTTTCTCTGCATCTGTAATATATTGTAATACCTTCTTAATTCTTCCTAATGGTTTGTACAGTAAATTTATGCCCATATTGTCACAAGTTTAGAATTCTTGTGTTGTGTAATGTCTATATCTGCTAAATGTTTTTCTTTTCTCCTATACTTCCTAGATCTGTCTTGTTCTTGTTCTATGTTATGTTTCTTTGGAAAAGCTTCTTGGTTTCTTGTTCCCTATTCAAATCTTTTCTTCAGTTGTCAAGCATTTTTTTGGTCTCTATTTAATACTTTTTTTATTAACACTATCCCTTTTGGGGGTTGGTCTATTTGTGGTTCTTGGTTCTGCGTGTATTTGTTGTTTTATTTCTTGTGCGGCCATATCTCTTATCATTTCTCCAATTTCAGATGTGCCTTCATCACCAGCGTCTAATTCTGAGTTAATGTCATCTTAGAATTAAACTGGCTTTTTACTTGTTTCTCCCAAGTCATCATTATTTGGTATTGGATTGGCAGGTATAGATATTTCCTTACAAATTGTTTTTGAAAATTAATGTATTCTCTCAGTCTCTGTTCGGCTTGCTAAATCTGTGTTTATTAACTGTCCCTGTCTGTTTTTGCTCACTCCTGCTTTTTGGCCACATGAGTTAGCTCTACAGTAGCCCCATCCTCTGGGTTGGAGGTGCTCCATTCTAAGGTAGCCCCTCCTTCTGGATCTCTTATGTGAGGGGTGGAGTTTCACTCTATGGAGCCCCCCTTTTTTACTTGGAGTATTGTTTTTGAAGATGGTGCCCAGAACCGACCGTTGGAGACTTGGACACCACTGCCATTGTTTTTCCTCCTTTACTGACAATTTTAGAAGGTACCTTATTTTTTTTTAACTGAATCTTTTCCATTTTTCTTTGTTTCAGCTTCAGTCAGTTTGGGTTTGGTAAGTTTCATTTTAATTGTGGCAGCTCCTTGGCTTGCCAGCATGTTTTGTTCTTCGGTTTCACTGTCGCTTGTTTCTGCCTCCTTTGCCTT